TGAGAATGTCTGATAATTTCAATTCCTAATGACTTAATGGTAAAGTGGGTTTGTGCTGTGTGAGCCCAGTTAAAAATAATTTTGAATCCAACATTAAAAGAGGAATCTAAATCAAAGTCAAATGGTCTCGTGGATGTTTCACCTCATGTGAAGAGCTTCTTCACCTGAACACTCATATTAACTCATCTCGTGTCCAAACTCACCCTCATGTACTGTTTCTAATACAAAGACAGAGACTGATTCAAACTATTACAATCATACACAATTAACCACCACTGCCCACAATCAAAGCAGCACACCGATCTGTTGTGGAAACCTTGTTTTTAAGGAGCTGTGAAGTCGGATGTGCGCGGAGGCCGTGAACGCACCGTGATCGGGTCAGACAGGACAGGTGAGTTTCACCTGCGGCTCGGTGAGCTCACATCTGCTCCGGAACTAAAGGAGGGCGGCTCACAGGCTGTTTCAACCTGAGGACCAACACACGGAGGAATATCAGCAGGTAAGACAGCGTCGTGTTGGATTTAACGACACTAACATGGATTTGAACACGTTAAAAACCGACCGACAGACGAGACATGTTGCGTTTAACGAGCTTCTCAGTGTGATCGGGAGTTCCGTTCATCCGTTTCCTCTGGTTCGGAGTCCTAGTGTTTATTTCTCCTCAGGCTTTTTTTTTTACCACTGGACATGTTTGCACAAGTAATGTTAAACTGGGAACTTAGCTTAGCATAAATCGGTGCTGTTAATTAGCCTCAATGTGATGGGCGGATGACACCTGAAGTAAACACAGCGACACCCGCTGGACAAAGGAACAGCAGCCCTCAACATCTGTGCTGACCTTCACCAATGATGCGTCTGTTGAAAGGATTTTTATTTACATGCCTTTTACTGATTAAAATTAGTTATAATTATTACACAACTGAATTATAAGTAAACAAAGTGAATACATATAAATAATGGATTCAACCAGTTATCAATGTTAGCAATGACCTGATGTCAAGTCAACACACCACCGTGGGATATATAAAGTTTGCTTTGTCTAAACAGAACCACAGCAAGTTCTTTGTAAATGTTTGTCTCAGTCAAAGTATTTTATTTTAAATTGATTTCATTTTCATTTATATCGTTATTTCTATTCGGCACTAGTTCTGCATTTACTCCGTATACACTTTGTATTTTTATTTTCACATATAATATACATTATACGTTTAGTTGTAAATTAACTTATATTTTTTAGACCTGATAAAAAATTATGTTTTTATTCTTTGAACTCCATTACATATTCTGTTACTGTAATCTGGAGCGGGCTGGCACAGGATGTTTCCCTCAGAACTGATAGTCTTATCTTATCTCATATTATCTTTTATTAAATTGGCTGAAACAAAAAAAAGCCAAAGTGACAAGACGAGAAATGTACTGTGCATCAGAGCAAACAGAACAAGAAGAACTGTGCACTACAAAGAACAGAACATATAAAAATGATAAAAAGCTTTTATTCTTGTTTGCAACTTGAAGTAAAATTTGAGGAATATTTGGATATTTGTTTAAGTCACAATTTTGCAGTTTGAAAAATATTGAAATGTACAGCTCAAGTTAGGGCCAAAAAGATGCTGAGCTTGGAAAGCGATGTCCACAAATAATTCCACAGTTTGTAGTTGTAATTCAACCTTTTTAAACATACTGCAAGAGAATTCACCTTTGTACAAGTGTAGATGTGTTTTATTTCTCTAAAGAAAATAAATTGTGAAAAAAGTCTGTGGAAAAAATGATATCAGTGGTCAGGCTACAAAAATACACTGTGAAAATACAAGGGTCTTTTGTGCACAGACACTAAAAAGAAAATTGTACAAGTTTCCACACTGTGTCAAAAGTAATTTTGACTGTTTTTTACACCACAGGTCATTAAATATTGTTGGATACACACTACCAGGTCAAACATTTTTTGACACAATTAGGTGAAAATACAGGATCAGTCCCAGCTTCAACTGTGACATTGTGTATTTTTTTCAGTTGTGTGTGCAGTTTTCCTATGAAGGACATTTCAGGTGCGCTCACCTTCAGTTTTAGTTACTTTCAGTCACTAATTCGGTGATTCATTTGTCTTCAACCTTGACACGCAGCGTGAAACAAAAAAATGTTTTTGTCTCTGATGTCAGGGGTCATATCAGGCTCATATTATGTCCTCTGGTCTCAGAAGTCTATTCAAAGCTACAAAAATAAAATGTAATACTAGTTTTAATACACATCCTTTACAGTAAATGTGGATCCATCTGTTGGCATCTGTTTAAACTCTGTTTCTCTTTACAGCGAGCACAGAGACCAGGTCCTGATGTCTTCAGGAGGAGTTGGTTCTGTCACCAGGTTCGACCGGGTGCGAGAGGTCCCTCTCTATGACCAGGTCCCTCTGGACCCCATATGGTATGACAAGGATTTTCCCCTGCCCCCGGGGCCCATGCATGGAGCAGTGCAAGCTGTCAGCTTAGACCCCCTTCCCCCTCCACCTCTACCTGGTCAGCCAGCTGTTGGTCCTGAATCTTTCTACCCCCCCAGCGATGAAGACCCAGCGGAGAGCGATTGTGACGCCATGGACATTAAGCCAGTCCATCGTTTTATCCCCGACTCTGTCAAGAACTTCTTCCGGGGCAATAGCGGCAGCCGTGACAGCAAGGGGTTTTCCATCCCTTCGTCAACTGCCCCTCACTCGCCTGCACCCTCATCCATGAAGAGTTCCAACCGCCGCACCACAGCAGGGGTCCCTTGCTCACCTCCCCACTCTGCCCCTCCATCTCCGTCCCTTCCTGGCTCCTATTGGGGCCGCAACGGAGGCTCCGCAAGCAGCTACAACGTTCATAAGGAAGACGGACTGCTGCTGGGATCTGAAGCCCTCAGCTCTGCATCTGCAGTGCCCACCAATCTATCAACACAGACCTATCAGGAGCGGGTAGAGGAGTACCACCTGCGCTATGCCTACATGAAGTCCTGGGCTGGCCTGCTGAGAATCTTGGGCTGCGTGGAGCTACTGCTTGGAGCGGCTGTGTTTGCCTGTGTCTGCGCATATGTTCACAAAGACAACGAGTGGTTTAATATGTATGGATACTCTGGGCCACAGATGTATGGAGGACTTGGTGGAGGAGCAGGTGGATATGGGGGCAGTTACTACACAGGCCCCAAAACTCCATTTGTCCTGGTGGTGGCTGGTCTAGCATGGATAGTGACTGTTATTCTAGTCGTTCTTGGGATGTCCATGTATTACAGAGCCATCCTTCTAGACTCTTCCTGGTGGCCACTCACAGAGTGTTCCATCAACCTGGTGTTGGCTGTGCTCTACATAGCAGCAGGGGTGGTGTATGTCAGGGACACCACCCGAGGGGGGATGTGCAACATACCAGTCTTCAATAATGGAATAAACGGGGCGTTTTGTCGCACAGAGGCTGGTCAGACGGCAGCCATCGTCTTCCTCTTCATCACCATGGTGCTCTACTTCATTAGTGCAGGAGTGTGTCTGAAGCTGTGGAGGCATGAAGTGGCCAGGATGAGGAGAGAGGCAATGGAACAGGAGGTCTGACACACACAAACACACACACACACACACACACAGACACACACACACTTGAAAGCTGAAGACCACTAATTGCTGAAGACCTCAGCATACAGTTCAAAGTACTCTCTCGCTGCTTCAGTCCAGTTATCTAAAATCCAAAAAGATGGGGCCAGATTGCTATATCTGTTATCTCAGTTTTTTTAATAGATTTTCAAGCAACATAGGAGCTAGTATAATATTCACTGATGCTTGAAGGTTGAATCGTATGTTGTTGTATGAAATGTTTTCTTCTTTTAGACCATTTTCTGAAACATACCATAGCTTTTAAAAGCACAATGACCATAGGTTTGACCATAGGTTTGACCATAGGTTTGTTTCGAAAATACCTTTTTTTTTTTTCCTATCTTATACTGCGCTCTTACTCAAATAGCCCCTACTTGTGCTTATATTTGCTCTGCTTGTGCTCAAACTATGCTCCTGCACAGATTTTGTTGCACTCCAGCTGCTTCTGTGTGGGCACGAAACCAACTGATAGAGGGCCAGCTTTAGTGTTGACAAACTAAATTGTCCTGCCCCCGTTGTGAGTGTGTGGGCTTTACTTCTTTGAGAGTCTGGTATGGGAGTGCAGGTAACCGCTCATACAGGAGAAATCTGAGTGCATTTCACATGTGAGCTGAGGCTGGAGCGCAGGAAATCTGCCCAAGCAAAACATTATTGAGTGCAAGCTCACAGTTTGAGCACAAGCTGAGCAAATCTAAGCACAAGAAGGGTCTATGTGAGTTCAAGTGCAGGGTTTCGAGTGAAAGCATTACAACAATTTACCATTAAATCAATGGGCCTCATTCATCAAAATCTTCTTAAGAATTATCTCAAATTTGCTGTGTGCACATCAAATCACAGAAACTGAAAAGAACATTTAAGAAGCCAGGAATGATTAAATAAAAAAAATATATATATAAAGATGTCGCTGCAGCAGACTCAAACCATTAATAAAGTTTGTAGTTTTGCAGTGTCAGCAGTGGACATAAAAAACCTAAAACGAAACATGGAATGCAGTTACACGTATAGTGAAAGCTATATCAGGGAGAAAGATGCACAATTGAAGTAAATCTTACCGCAGATTTGTATGCTAAATGAATATAGTCAAACACAGAAGAGAGAGGGGGAAAAGAAAAGGAAGGTGCACAGATTTATCTGAGCTGGAGCAGCACATCATCACTGCAGGTGAAGCCTTAGCTGAACATCTGTGGATACTCGACCTGAGCCCGACGGGATGCAAAAGGAGCTGACATGACATCTCCTGAGCCAGCTCTCGTCTCAGAACAGAAATAAACTCGGTTTTCAGAATAAATAGGCTACACTTTTAACTATAAGTGGTAGCTGTGACACATTTAATATATAAACCCCTGTAGGTAAAACCTCAAGATGGGTGATTATTTTTGTGACTAAATATTCCCTGTGTTTAGTAAGTATTATCTTTTTTTTGTATCTTATCAGTATAGACAGTATATATTATAAAATATATTTTTATCTTATCATATAACTGTAGAATTAAAAGTAAATAATACAATAACAGATTTTTATACACAAGCATTTAACTTGTCAAGTGAGCGTAAGAGTGCTCTTCAGTGTGCATAGATTCTGTTCTTACATAAGAACAAGTCCCAGATAAGAAAACATTGATGAATGACAGAATCAAAAAAACACATAAGTGGGTTTTAAAGAGATATTTCTTGTTAAGAATGGTTTGTGAATAAATCCTGCTCTCAAACTGAAAGTCCCCACTCTTTAATAAAGAAAAAGAACATACAAATAGGCCATTGAATTGTTCCTTATAAAACTGAACACTGAACATATAATAAATAACTTACCTTTTCTTCTTCAAAAAAAACCTAGATGAAAACTACTGCATCATCAGTCCCTCTGTCTATAGTAAGTATCAAGTTTTGCTTATTCTGTGTTCTAGTAGACGTTGAATAATGAACAGTGTACATAAAGTGACGGCGTGACTCTGGTCCCCTGCTGCAGCTGGGTCCAGGCTCCAGGGCCTCCGAGCAGACTCCTCTCCCCACCATCCAGCCAGACCTCATGGACGCCATTAACAACTCTGCAGCTGCTCCTGTGAGGATGCTGGAGCCAGAGATCCTCCAAGGTCACATACCGGCCGGACACATCCCCAAACCTGTAGTCATAGCCGACTATGTGGCGTGAGTATTACCTTCTAAGTCACAGTTTCCAAAAATATCCCTTTTTATAGATGCTCTGGATAGGAAGACACGGGTTAAACATTATAAATATTTATAATTCCTGTACCAGTTTGACATATTGCACATTTGAATCCTGGTAGGAAAGTTCTCAAAATTATCGTTCATTAAGATATAATCCCTGAATTTGTAGTAACGCTCCATGGTTCCCGAATCAACAAAGTTTTTAAGCATTCATTTAGTCATTCAGGAGAGGTCACTTAGACATTGTGTGATTTCTGATCATCTCCCAGTGATACATTGACAGTCTTGAGGGGAATGTTTTGGTGATCAAATCACACTGTCCAACACGGATGATGTTTGGATACCAATATTCCAATATTAACCCAATTAAAGGTTCAGTGTGTAGAATTTTGTGGTCAAGTTGCATGTTGCAGCTGAACACCCCTCACCTCACCCTCTCCTTCCAAACATGAAAAAGAACCTGTGGCAGCTTCAGTTGTCATAAAAACTAAAAAGGTGTTTAGTTTGTCCAGTCTGGACTTATGTAAAAAACATGTCAGCCTCCATAGAGAGGGTCCCCTCAATGTAAATATAAAGTACTTAATTATAAACGGCTCATTCTAGGGTTATCACATTATAACATCCTGTTGGAGTTTTCACAGCATTTCGGGACATTGACATCCAGCAGTTACCAATGACTTGATGACACATGCCTGGGTATAAACTTTATGAACTTGATGGAAAAATTAAAAGCAGTTGGAGCTTTTGCAAAATTTTAAAGAAAATTGTACTACAAGTACTTAAAAACATTGCACGCAGACAGATCAAATCCCACACACAACAAAACATGTAACGTGATACGCACTGCCAGAATGATCCGGATTCATAATCCGACATCATCGATGAATAACTAAATAAATGTGATGGTCAGTTTGTGTGAAGCATGACAGAGACAAACAAACCCCCACTCACTGAAACATTTTACTGTGACAATTCTAACAATATTACCAGTGTGTAGAAACCTGAACTACATCCGAAACACAGATGTGACATTGCAATCATAATAAATAATAATAAAGTTAACATTAGGAAACACTTTACAAGACGTTTTTATACATTTTGTTCTTGTAGAGTATTTTAAATTGATAGAATTTTCCTTTTTGCCCATTGATTTACACTCATCAACCCATAATGATAAAAGGTTTTATCAGAAAGTGAAAACAAAAGCATTAGAGTTTTCAGACCAGAAATTATAATTTATAATCCACAATTCAGTAGTTAAAAGTTAAAGCTTTACTTTACACACCAGGGTTTGAGCAGTTTATCTCAGTCCTGACAGATCCGCTCAAACTTTATCAGACTGGTTTTAATCCTGAATGTTTTTGGCACTAATGGACAGTCAGAGACTTGTCTTGAAGACGTTCCAATGTTGTCCCTGCTGCTGAGAAGCTGCAGTGCGGATGTTGCCAGCAGCTTAACATGTTTTCTTTTGTCCTGTATCCCCAGGAAATACCCCAGCATACGCTCAGAGGAGGAGAGGGACCAGTACAAGGCTGTGTTCAATGACCAATATGCTGAGTATAAGGAGCTGCACAATGAGGTTCAGGCAATGGCTTCTAAGTTTGAGGAGATGGACGATATGATACAGAACCTTCCCTCCCGGCCATCAAGCCAAATGGTACAAATCTCACTCACATCCACTCAAACAAACAGGAATACGCTTGTATACACACTGCACAGCTACGTCCGCTAACATGTTGTTTTGTTTCAGGAGAAGGAGCGGATCAGTGGCATTTTAATGGAATATCAGAGGAAGAAAACTGTAAGTAAACATCATAAAAGTGATAAATGATCCATCCAGCCACTGACTGGATATTTCTATTAAGTTCATGCTCTGATTAAAGGATCATTCTGGTGAATTTCAACATCTCCCATAAATGTGACTTTTGTAGCTACAATATTTCACTCCCAACTCTGTTATTGAGATTCAGGGGAACAAAGACTCTCACGAAACTTTGGGGCAAGTAGCATGAACCTCAGCTTTACAAATAAAGCAGATTTTTATATTTATCATTTCAACACTTGTGTCTGAGTCGCAGTGAAAAGAAGCACAGTGCATAGACGCCTGGCACAAACTGAGAGCTGTCTAATTCCAGGGCATCTTGATGGCTGAACTAATCACCCCTGATCTGCTCATACCAGTTTGTTCACATGAAGCTTACTGTCACTGCGGTTATATATTTTTTTTACAAGGAGATTTAAAAAGCTAAGTATGATGATCACAAATCATTTTACTTTGTATTTATCTGAACTTGAGTAAACAAATGAGGAGCTGAATCTGTTGGAAGAGGAGGCAGAAAAAGCTGGAGAAGGCAACATGATTGTAATGAAAGAAAATGTACTTCCTGTGATCACAGCTCTCCACTGATGACTGGGAACGAAATATTTGAGGCACTGATCAACATTGTTGTCCTGGGCACTTTTATTTTAGCCTCCCTAAAATCAACTGAAGAGAAGAAAGAGGCCAGTTAGACAAATACTTCTACATTTATGCGATAAGAAAATACATTATAACTTGTAAAACCTTGTTTGAGGGAGTGTAATGAAGTCGCACCAAAATTACAATGGTAGCCTTGAGAGAAAGTTACAGCTGCATTCGATAATTATCACTAGAAAAAAATAAAGACCCCTTCTCATGTTCTATATCAATTGTTTTGCATCAATCCTCATTTTCCTGAGGAGATGGTGAGTGTATGTGTCTAGATTGAGATGAGTTAGAAATATACTTAAATGTCTGAGAGATAATTCTGTTTCTATAAACCTTTGACATCCATTACATTTCTGCAAATAGTTCCCTTTCGCCTAAATCTTACACACTGGACCTTTAACGAAAAATACTGCACCTTCACATTGAATCTATTCAGACCTCATTTTTAATCTTACTTACACTGAAGGGTTACTCAAGTCATTCTTATTGTTTCTATAAATGTGGCAAAAGCAGAGGCCTGGATATTCTGACTTTTAGCAAAGGTAAAATCAGGGCCATCTTTTTAAACCCTGCTTGACGGTTAAATAACTGTTACAAAATGTAAAATAATTACATTTAAAAGACTGGCTTAGACTGAAGTAAGGGACTGTATAACACTTTGTTGCTAGATTTGAATCCCCCTTTCAGCACCAAGGATAGCGCCACTTGGCCAGGCAGACCAGAACATACATTTCAGTATTTATTATAAAAGAATCACAAAATGCAACAGCACAATGAGCTGGCAACTTTAAAAATGTAAGGCCCATTCTCCCATGAGTTGTCATAAACCAAAACCAGGAGTGTTTGAATTCTCAGTGTTGTCATCAGCAGTGAGTCACGCTGGGAGAATGTAACCATGTTGTAACTAGCCTGCAGTAACTGTTACAAGAAGCTTATCTTACATTATAATAAAAGAGGAAGTAAAACATACTGTGATCATCTACAGGTTTGATAAACTTAAATCTCCGTATTTAGGTATGTGATGGACTTTCAGCTATGATTTTAACCAGGTGGTGTAAATAAATATAAACATACATGGTTCAGAAATCCGAAATAACTCTAGATTTACAATAGAACGTTTGTACACACTGGGCCTGTGGGGTTTGAAAGAAGGCATGAGGGATCTAAAGAGATGCTGTAAGCTCTATATGGAACTTCTCATTTATAATTTATTTTCATGGCCAGAGGGCAGACGGTGGTTGTCCATCCGTCTGTCCGTCCATACCATTGTTGTGAACATGACATGAATTTCTTTAAATTAGGTACAAATGTTCAGTTGGACTCAAGGATGACCTGATTAGATTCTGGTCAAAGGCCACTGTGATCTCACAAACCCCTGACCAAGGCGTTCTCATAAGAATGCCCAGAGAGGAGTCTCATTTTGTGTCAGCAGAAACTCTCCTGGTGCAAAAAGCTAATCACGTCATACCCAACACGCTAGCCTGTAAACACTGCCAAAAGTGCTTCAACTAAGTAATAAATAAAGTTTTGTGATAATGAGTTTTCAAGTGTAATTTATTGAAGGGAAATTTTATTTAAACTAAAATACTTTCTGAATGCACTGTATGTAAAAATTACATCAATAAACGCTTGAGCTTAGCCTTACTCTAAATCAGTGGAATGTTCCTTGGTGCTACATTTTGACATGGAACTTCAATATGACTTCTACATGACTTTCAGTGCTTAGGTTGTTCCTCCCATGACGCAACATATTCTTCCTTCCAGGGTCATTGATGTTTGTATTATTTACTGAAAACCAGACTTCGAAATACACATGTTGTACTTTAGATTAGACTGCCATGAACACTGTCCCCTGACAGACAGTGAGCGGCTGTGGCTGAGGGGTTAAGCGGTTGTCTCTGGGTTTGGCAGTTTGCTATATAAACACAGACCACTTACCATATAGAGTAATGTCATCACCAGGAGAGGAACCAAACATGAAATATATTTAATTATTCTCTGTTTTTCTCGTCAGGACCCGACATATTTGGAAAAAAGGGAGAGGTGTGAGTACCTGAAGAACAAGCTCTCTCACATCAAACAGAAGATCAATGAGTACAACAAGGTCACGGACTGGAACAATGGCAAATGAACATGGGGGGTTATACATTTAACATGACACACTACACATGCAGTCTGCGACACATAAGAATACATGCTCTTTTGCACGTGTTACTGACGTGGCGATTGTCATCAACTTGCCATTTCATCCAGAGATAAGACGATGAATATCAGTTTCATCCCCGTGTCTCCAGTCTGGTGTGTGTTTAGTCCAGGGTGGCAGAAAAACGTGGAGACAGATGGAAACTCTTTAACTGGCTCCAGCAAAGAGGCCAATCTGTGGATGCTAAAGACACTTTGGTGCACATCACTGGATGCATGTGTTGGCTGAAGTAATGCCTAGAAACGGGTTCTGGGGTTGACTCAACACTGCCTGGAAGGATCCATCAAATGATCCAGATGTAAATAAAGCAGATGTGAAAGTTAATGACGGCTGATGTATAAAGGAAGAGTAACTGTGCTGCAGCAGACAGAGGTGTCAGCAGAAGATTGTTGTAGGTTAGGTTAACAGTTTATTTTTGTTCAGATATGTTTCTATATACTGTTCTCTTTGTCATACAGTGGAGGCTGATCTAGTTTTCATCATGTTATTAGATTTTATATTTTAGATTTTTACTAAAAGCTCTCTCCAAAGTTAAAGATCATTGTTTTAATAATTTCACTCACTTTGTAAACTTTTGTATATTCATGTTTAATTGATTTGTGTTTATCTTTTCAATACCATTTAAGCACCTTTTTTTAATTTTTTTTTTTTTACATACTTGTATTTTGCCTTTACAAAAAAGAAAACTTTAACCATGAAACTACCGCACTGTTTTTGTGACTACCATTCACCATGACCATTTAAGCTCACTTATTGCAGGGCAGTGGCAATGAATGAGGGAAGCCAGCGAAGTTAGAACTTGGATAAAGTGTGAAATCAAAACAAAGCTACAAGTTTCTTTGTCTGTTTGAAATCATTGAAATGTGAGGGGTTTTATTCTCCTCTTCAGTGGCAAGAAAAGGTTCAAGTACTCTTTGTAATCATCTGCATTTATGTATAAATTTGCTTCAGAATGTAGACAGATCACAAACAATCAAATTAATTTTAATCTGACAACACAAATATTAGTATTGTTCTTTTCCATATTTAAAACTTCATTCAAATATTCACAGTGTTGGAACTTCTCAGCTAATGATGTCTGAAGCTAACGAGTCAGGATTTAGTAAACTACAATTTTTTCCTTATAAAGTCTGCTGATGTGAACCAATTTAACTTTAATTATCGATTAGGTGAAAATGAAGCCAAGTGTAACAGCTAAAGATTTAAAGGAATCAGTGGAGTTTCACCTCTGCGGTCATTAGTCGTCAACACACTCGTCATGGTGAATGTGTAGAGCATGACGCACAGCTCTCCAGAGCAGCATCACACATTCCCAACACTGTTTGAAAAATGTTTCGTCATGCAGCACTGTGTGTACAGCATTTTGAACCAGCTCTGAAATCTCGTGGTTGGCTGACTTGTAAATGTTAAATGGGTGTGTTCAATAAAGACTCACAGGAGTATCACTGTTTATGTCATTAGTTTAAGCACCTTGGGTTTGACTCTACACTTAGATCAGGTCATATTTTGTAACCATTAAATGCAGAAAACCAGGTCATCCAGAGGGTTAACACACTTTTAATACTGTGCAGTCAGATTAATATAGTTACACAATGTGTTTACGGAAACCAATAATAGTTTTGTTTCAAATTGTGGTCCAATTTTTTTTATATTTGAATCACTATTATTTTGACACAGAAAACTTAACTATTATTAGTGGTAGCAGTGGTGGTGGAGGTAATCCAATCCCTGAAGAACCCATGCTTACTACTGAAGGTGTGGCTCTGCTCTCAGGTGACTGGTCCTGGGGGAAATACAGGTTATTCTCACTCTATAAAAGATTCAAATGCAGGGGCAGGGACTTTCAATCTAAAAATTACCTGGGTGAACTGGAGAACTTGTAAAGCTCCATTAGTGCCTGGAGCATTGTGTTTTTCACAGGATCAAGTTTTGCAACACTGGAGATGTCTTACTTAACAAAACAGCCTTTCGCGATTCACCACCGAAACTTTTTACGCAGCCGTCCATTTGTCACAATCAGAATTTTTATGTTTTATTTTTTTAATTATTTACTGAAATAACCCACATTTAAACGATTTAAGAATAATAGGTAGGGTTTATTACACATTCTACAATTATTATTTTTTTATTAAAAACATAAAAATGAAAATACTGACACTTGAACATCGTTTCAGTAATTTTGATGAGATACTAAATTTATTTTAGCAAGATATATATATATATATATATATATAGAGAGAGAGAGAGAGAGAGAGAGAGAGAGATGGATGGATGCCTTTTCCTTGTACCTGCGGGGAAAACAGCGAGTAGAGAGAAAGAGGGGGTGAGAGAGAGAGAGAGAGAGAGAGAGGACAGGTTAGTCCTGTTATACCTGGGGAACTGACCACGTGACCAGCTCACACACCTGGAGGCGCGTCTGTCTTCTACTCCGCGAGAGCGCGCTGCAGGGGACTCGGCCGCGCGCTCGGTGTTGTGTTAGCGCAGCTCCACTTGTGTTCGCAGCAGGATCGGACGCTGCATCGAGAACAGGTGAGTGTGTTTCTAACGCTCAGGCTGTGTACGAGGGAAACAACCAGCTCCGCTTCACTGGGCAGAGAGTTCACATGTGAGAGCCTTGAATGTGCTTTGAGGAACCGAGCGTTGACAGCAGCAATGATGGAAAAAAACCATCTCAAGTTTAATTAGGCCGACGCCATTTTTTAGACTCAATTTACCTGAGAATGTACCTGCCTTTATTTTCCTCTGCGCTTGTTTGCGCCATTTAATGTTTGAAGGACTGTTTTGGCTGCATTTCTCTCCTCTCTCGTCTTTACTGACTTTATTTAAACAGGAAAGCCTGGAAGCTTTGTTTGTCTTTCTGTTTTCACGGGAACCGTGAATGTAAATAGAAACTATCAGTGAGCAGTGCGGGACTGTTTGTGCGCCTGGACCTCTCCGCCCTCATTCTGCTGCTTTGTTTCACCACAAACAGCCTGTGAGGATTGTCTTCCTCAGCAGATACCTGAGGAAGGTCACTGTTTCTGTTGTCTCTCCACCAAAAAAACCACCAGAAGTACTATGATCACACAAATCCAGCGATTCTAATCCAGTGATTGATTCACTTATAAAAACAATGCAGCTGATGTTGAGGGAAAAATCCAAATCTCAGACTGTGTATAAAAGTTGATTTAATTCAAGAGAGCCACTATGATCTGAGAGGAATTTGTAAGTTGACAGTACACAAGTTACAGTAATTGATCAAACGGATGTGTTTTCTGTTGTTGGGCCAATTTTGGATATAAATCTAAAATGTGAGTAATTCTGTTTCGATTTTTAAAGTAATGATTTACAAAGCTACGTTGAAGGCTACAAGTGTGAAGATTCTTTCTCGAGGGTTCTTTTAGATAAGAATATAGGCAGGCATGTACAGCATGTGCTTTGTGTCTTTGCAGTAGGCAGTTCCCTCACATGGTCATAGTGTTTAGACTTTGCTGTTGGCATGTATACATTGTCTATTTTGTGCTTATTGTACAAAAATCAAAACATGTGTTTTGAATGGAGGGATCCATCCACCGTGCTCTCTGTGAAATGTGTTTACCTCCCACCCATAAGTCAAAGAATTGTGTTTTCTGTATCCTACAGGAAGCCACTGCTTTTAATTCAAGTAAAGGTTCAGTGTTTACGATTTAGGTGAAGGGGATCTATTGCCAGGGATTTAATATAAAATAATCATATATTGATTTTTTTTCATTAGTGTGTAATCATGTAAATTGTATGAATTGTTATTTGCTTTACCCTAGAATTGGCCCCTTTGTATTTAAATACAGAATATAACATTAGTTGTCACTCTATTGAGTTTAGTGCAGAACACAAAGGATGGCACCACAGTTGATGTGACATTGATGACTCATGATTAACATTTTACAGAAGTCATTTTTGATGAAAGGTCTGCAGTTATGTTTTTATTTTTTTTTTTTAAAGGTGAGAGGAAGCTGGACATCAGAATGCCAAACCACAGACACAGCACCCCACCATACCTGTCAGGTGGCAGTAAACAGTAAGTCAACCCACATCTGTCCCTCACTACTGAACTGTCATACTTGTGTGTCTGTGGCCCAGTTCACACCTGACATGAACAAAAGAAAACAAGTAGACAACTCGAAGTACAGGAGATCACACCTGGCACCTAGGACTGAACACTTATAATCAGATGTCATTTACCTGCCATAGACACACATAAACACGCTGTTTGCAAAGACCAAGACTCATTTGAAATGGTAAAAGAAAAAAGTTAAAGATCAATATGTGGTGGTAACTGTTACTAGTCGTGTGGCCACGTATTCTTCAATGTATGTGAAATACTGAGACATTTAAAAATACTTTCGGTTTGTGGGTCAGAGTCGGTGGTCCTTCAATGTGGAACATTCATGTTCACACTGACAAAAGAATGTAGCCACATGTATCCAGAGCACTTCTTATTATGGTCTGAGTGATCGCCCTCAATACTTCTTGGGTTCATTCACACCTCTACTTAGAGCTGTCCACTTGTGATTGGATCTCTCATGTGAGGCATGAACAGACTCACATACTCGTATAAAATCAGTTGTAGATATACCGACATTCACATGTTGCTGACTGAAGCTGGGTTTAACTGTGGTGCAGCGTTTTTACTCTTCTGTAGCATTTGAGGGCTCCAACATTAACAGCATAGTTGTTTCCTATTTCCAGGCAACCTTGTCTCCTAAAAATGATATTTCTGTCCAGCTAAACTGCTGCAACAAATATGATTTCTATTACCTTTTGAGGATGTGTTTTGAATTTTTATATATGACAAGGCACCACTATGCTGATACTGAACTGGTAAAATGCTCAGAGACATCGTATTCATTTTTAATTCAAGTCAATTTTATTTGCATTGCACATTTAAAAACTACAGGAGTTGGCTCCAAGTGCTTTTCAATCACAGCAGATGGAATTAGCACAAGCATACATTATAAATAAAGGAATTAAAATTGTGAGGATAAAATCACATGACACACAACTGCTTTTAGCAGAAGGCTTATTTTTCTGTTTTGTTTGATCTGGTTCAGCATTACCACTGAAAAAGTTACAACAACAATAAATCAGTCAATCAAAAAAATACCCCTCAAATTTGATGGTTGTTTATGACACATTCTGATTCAGCCTCTTGAGTATAAGGATTTTCTGCCTTTTTAAAATATCGCTTTAAATTAAATATCACAGTCCATGAAACATATTTTAACCTGAAGCCCTGTGCAGTCTGTATTTTTTTCTCGAGAGGAGATACATTTTTTTACCTCAGTTAGTTTCACTGTGCTCTTGTGAGTTATTCAACGACCTCTTGTTTTTCACCATTAATAATTTAACTCTGTAATGACCTCCTTGTATTTTAAATCTCTGTGGGAGGACCTGCTTGACTTATCTTTTTTAAACCAACTCTGTGTGAAATGAAAGTGATGGAACATGTGAATACCATCATATCGGCTTGTTTGTAATCAATTGAAGCAGTCAGGAAAGCAGGACATGGTAATGTCAGCCATGAGCAGGCACTGCTATTCTCTTTTGGCTTGTGCCATTGACTGTCAATTTCCATGTGCTTCTGCAGTTCTGGTTGAAATGTCATGACTCAAAAATTAAAATTCACTCATATCTACATAGCTCTATGCTGATAGAGTGGTGTGTGTGTGAACAGTCCACAAAACACTTTTAGAGTTTCAGGTGTAAACAGCGTTGCAGCCAAATCCAAAACAATTGAAGTAAATGGTGACCACTTCTTCAAAGGTAAAAATCAACACAAAAAAATGCCTCCATACTGCTCCTGTGGTGTCATCGAAGTGTCTGTAAGCCCCAACAATCGATCGAAATGGCGTCATTTACACCGTGTTTTATGCCTAAATGTCCTCTGATATCTGCCTCCTGAGCTGCGTTCGTGCATGGATCACATTTTTTCTTCATTCAATTATTTACCCCTGAGACACCAAAAGTGTTTTGTGGACTCAAACACTTCACCCACCCCTACATCGGCATAATTGTGCGTATATAAGGACTGAATTATCATTTTTGGGTGAACTATCCCTTTAACACAAAAAGCTTTTGAATGGAACAGTTCCTCTTCATCAATTATCAGTCAGAAGTAGATGACCCTCAAACAAAATGTTTTCTTCATCATCAGTAGGACATGTATTGTAAGTTGTCACCACTTCATGTCAGGTTTGTCCAGTATCACTTGAATAGCTGCCTTCTATTTATATCATGTAATGTTTGCCATGACTTTTAGTGAGGAGGTGACAGATCACTCTGTACAACTCTAATTGAGCTCCTCTCTCCCCCTCTGTTGCAGCCACAGCAGCAGACACAGGCACAGTGAGCATGTGTCCAACCCGGCCTTCTCCTACTACCCAGGAGACAAGATGCTTCACTTCTATCGCTGGACCTCACCCCCGGGTGTGATGAAGATATTGTGTATCATCATCGTCATCATGTGTGTGGCCGTGTTCGCCTGCGTGGCCTCCACGCTGGCCTGGGACTATGATATGGGTCTCATGGGTCTTGGAGGTGGAGCTGGCTTGATGCCAGGTTATGGTGGCGGCGGCGCATACGGTGGCTCGTACGGTGGTTCATATGGCGGCAGTTACGGTGGCTCATATGGAGGTGGCAGCTCATATGGAGGCATTGGTGGTGGCGGCAGTGGCAGTTCCTATGGCTATGGAGGAACACAAATGGATCCCAAGACTGGCAAAGGCTTCATCATCGCCATTTCAGCCATCACCTTTATAGCTGTGCTCATCATATTCGTGTTGGTTGTTTCGAGGCAAAATGCAGCCCGCTCAGCAAAGTTCTACCTTGCAACCATCATCATCTGCGCCATCTTAGCATTTCTGATGATCATTGCCACTATCGTGTACCTGGTAGCTGTGAACCCAACAGCTCAGTCCACGGGGTCTGTCTACTACAGCCAGATCCGCCAGCTGTGTGCCCAGTACCAGACACAGACCCAGGCCCAGGGCATCTTCCTCAACCAATACCTGTACCATTACTGTGTGGTGGAGCCTCAAGAGGTGTGATATGCTTTTTTTTTTTTTGAGTTTGTGGTTGTGTTTCTGTGGGGCAGGGTGTAGTGCATAGCTTTACCAACAATAATCCAATAATGTCTCCAGATAGTCACAGATACATTATGCAGATGTAGCTGTATAATTAAAAGTATTTTTCCACCTAAAGCCAAAATTACCAGGAAAATAGAAATATCGCTTCAAAAGATTTGAAAAACACTTGAAGACAAAAATGGTGCAAGGAGAAGCAAACCCTGCAAAAGTGTTAATTTTTAATTGTTTTTATTTACTTGATAAAGCAAGAAATCTGCCTGTATGATGAGACTGTTTCTTCATGTCAGAGTTAAAACTCAAAACTCAATCAGCTTTGAATGTCTTAAAAGATAATGTCAGTGTTGTTTTTAGCCTCATTTACAAAATATCACTTGTGCTTTCACATTATCATTGCTAACTATTTACTAAAGTGTCTCTGGATGCTTCACTTATCATCCAGCCACTAGGTTTAATTATTTTAAATGTGAAATAAAACGTATGTATGACGTTATGGTGAAAGTGTTGGTAATCCATCACATTCAACGTCTCTGTTGTTGACTTGACTTTGATGGAAACATAGATTAAGAGGAGACCTGTGGTGTGCACTGCCCATGTCCTTAAGGGCAGTGATGGATAACAAGTAGCAGATCACCGCTTCTGCATCTGTGGATTTCCCTGAATCAGGGCTTTGCTTCCACTTAGATATGTTGTTGTGTTTTTTAATGATAGATTTCTGTTTTTTGAGGATGATGTCAATAGTTTGTAATTTTGAACAGATTTCTATGAACTCATCCACCCCTATGGTATTTACTATTCATGTTAGTGAGTGGAATTTCACCCCACTAACATACAGTGCTTTGGTTCCTGCAGGCCATCGCCATTGTCCTGGGCTTCCTTGTGTTTGTTGGTCTCATCATCCTGCTGGTGTTCGCAGTCAGGACTCGCTCAAAGATCAGGCACTGGGGCCCAGAGAGGATTCTCTGGGAGGAGGTCAAGGTCATCACAGAGGGTACACACAACAGTGTCGGGGAGTGGGTGAGTGTGTGTTTGTCTGCTGTGTACTTATATGGCTTCACATTCTGAGGACCAGTTTTAGAATTAGGACATTTTGTCACGTCTTCATGTACTGACACATCTTCAAAGACTTTAGCATCAGGGTTATGATTATGTTCAAGGTTATGGTGAGGGTTGTGATTATGCATTTAGTTGTGAGGGTTGAGGCAAGGGAATGCCCTATGTAAATGAGTGTCCTTACAAAGACAAAAGTACAAGTAATGTATGTCAGGCGAGAGACAGGTGCAGGTTGGATGGTTTCATTTAGCAGTTTCTGGGTGTGGTCCAGGAAGTTTCTTGTGCTGTCAGGATGATGTGTTCTAAAAATAAGAACTTATCCAAGAACTACAATATCTAAACAACACCTGGAATTCTAATGGGTGGATCTGTACATTGACATAAAAAAAAATCTTGTGTTCAGACATTTCCCGTATTTAAATAGTCACGGTTTGCATTTCTAGGAAAGTGGCACATTTGAAAGTGTTGACCTGAAAACGGGTTTCGTACGAACATAGTTTTCATTCCAGGTGTGGAACTTTTTCAAACATGTCAGCAGTGCTGGCTGAGAGACATTGTTTCAGGCTTCCTGTTGATGGTAATCATAGTATCAGTAGTATTCAAGCATGCATGGAAAAGCAGAGGAACCGGTTAGCGCCTTGTTCATTCAGTGTTTATCTTGTGTTAAGAACTGGTTTCTATAGCCTTAATGGGGACAAGTATCAGAGGAGCCTGAAGAAATCTTGACTAAACCTCAGGCAAGAAAATAGTTTTTGTAATACAATGACTGGGGAATGATGGGGGGGGAATGGCATAAAATAGCTTGAGTGAGGTAAAATGTTAGTTTGAAGAGGCAAAGAGGTTGATTTTCTGACCAGTCAATGGATAAAATCAGGAGGTCAAGGAAGTGGAATTTCATTAAAAGTTAGGAAAAGGCAACTGCTGCGCTAAGACAACGTCATTTTCAAAACTTAATTTATACCACATGGAAGAAAAATAAAATCACAAACTCTGTTTCTTGAATTGTAGGCCTATCATGTTGATTATTATGAAATTGAAATTGTATTAAATGGACATAATTTGTAAAGTAACATTGACTTTGGGACAGTTTTGTTGTACACTGTTTACACACTGTTATGCTGATGAAAAATGTCTGACCTTGTCTGATGCTTCAGGTGAAAAATGTGAGTGGTGACCCAGAGATAATGGTGAACGACTATAATGACAAAGTTGGGGGTTCCAGAGACTATCTGGACCGACTGGACAACAAGCCTCTTTACCTGCCAGGGTAAGCTGTGCATCTCACAGGGGCCTGTTGTTTGTTTGCAGACTTCCTTCAGTTAAATAATAGTATATTTACACTGTGCTGATGGTTTACTCAGTATACACAGTGAAAAATAGTTAGGTACTGCTCATGTTTGTTGTTTTACAGCCCTGCAGTGAACACAGACTCCAAGTATAAGCAGTCTAGGATCAGTTTGTTATGGAGATTTGAGTTTAGTAGGACTAAGCTTAATTAAGTATAGTATGATTAAGGTGGAGGCAGGTGGAGTCACACTCAGCTGGGACATCTTTCCTTTAGCCTTCCCTTCCTCCAACAGACCCATGTCCATAATGTTATAGGCAGAATTTAGTTCCAAAATCAGGATCCTAGCTTAGCATCCTGATGGAGTGGTTTAGGATGAAGTGGAGGGCCATGTTCACAGCACTGTCTACAGACCTACTGCCGCTAGGGGACTTAGGAGTGGGTCCTCGTGTGACCCGACAAGGCTGCAACAAACATGTATAAATACAATCACTAATTCTGTTCACAGAGATTCGGACATAAGCAGCTCTGTGGGAATTTTGAAGCCCAGGCTGAAGGACTATGACACTGGTGCAGAGTCTGGAGATGACCTGGAGGAGGAGGACTTCAGCGCGTAAGTCCGAAGGGATCTGTTAGCCAATAATTGTAATGATTATGAGAAAGACATTTGTGTTTCTATACCATAAATCCATCTGGTATGCACTGCCAAACGTATCTGGATCTCTACTGGAGGCAAATCGTTTATTACCATGTGGGTTCATTTCATTCTGTTCTCATCTGCAGGTTGTTTCCTCCCATTGTGGATGAGCAAGAACGTCTGACCTACAAGCGGGAGTTTGACCGGGATCACCAGGAGTACAAGGACCTGCAGGCTGAGCTGGACAACCTAAACCAGGACCTGGCCGACCAGCACAGAGAGCTCGACCGACAGCCTGAGGGCAGTCCACAGTTCTTGGTGAGTGGTGACGTGACACTTTAAGTTTTGTGTGGTCATGATTACAAATAGAATTTGAGAAAGTCAGGTAATGAGACCATTGGTAGGAAAATGGTCCATATGTCCCTGTAAGTGAGTTTTGGGTTCTTTTTAATCATTAACCAAGAACTACAAAGTAAAGTTAAACCTTTTTGATTCAATGTTCCAGAAACAGAAAAATGTTTTGTTCTTGGATTAGGGTTAGGGAGAACGTTAGATTAAATTTTTGAGTTGAAATCTCTCTTTGTTTCTGTTACTTTTTTATGTTTTTTAACTTTAGTCTCTGTAATTACTGTATTAATGTTATACCGAGGTTTGTTTTTATTTGATTAACACTGACACTTAAGCTGATACACAAACATTAACTGAATGTTTGTATGCCTGTTAATGGACAGTGGCAGGGCATCCAGGGAGGGGGTCAGTTGGGCACTAGCCCCAGATGATTCTGATTGGCCCCTGAAGTGCCCCTGTCCTGTCAGTACTAACCCTAACCCTTTTTTTCTAGTCACTTACAAAAATAGTAACAATAAATAAGACAATGTGTTTTTCTAAGATTTTTTTGAAGAACACAATGTGCTTAAACATGCAACAATTCCATTATGTGTGGCTGTGCTCAAATATAGAGCTTACAGAAAATGAAGAATGACTTAAATGTGCACTTTACTATAATAAGAAATAAGAAATTGTGAATGAGTGTTGGACATATAATAAGCCCCTCTGTGTAAATTGTGGCCCCATATTGGCCCCTGATTTAGAAAAACCCTAGGTTGGCCAAAGAATGGAGTGGCCAAAGGGCAAGTTATATAATCATTGTTTTTCTGAAATACATACTAACATGGCAACCCAAATGAGTAGTAGTCAATTGAATTCCCTGATTCAGTGTTTCACTGACCATGACTGAAAATACAGTGGCATACTGTGTGCTATAGACAGCTTCAGATCTTACTATGTTAAGTGCCTTGAGAGAATATATGTTGTGGTTCGGCCCAAAAACAAATAAAATTGAATTGAATATTTGGACTGAAAATGTGATCAAGAGTAAGAAAAAGGCTGAGAAATGTTGGTGTGAATCTGGAATGGTGGAGTCCTCTGAGTGGTCAGATCATTAACCTGCTGCCGTTCTTATCTCAGGATGCCATGAATAAATACACCAGACTGAAGAATCAAAAGAAGGTAATGTACACACCGTGCTTTTCTTTACAGTAGAATACAGTCCTCTGGATATAGAGAAAAATATTTAATCGCTTGAATTATTTTCTATCCTCTGCAGTCCCCAGACTACCAGATAAAGAAGAAGAGGTGTAAATATCTCAGGTCCAAACTGTCGCACATCAAGAGGAAGATCAGTGAATATGACCGACGACCATGAACCTTCACCTCTGACAGGGACAGTGACTAATCTGCAGTTTTCCACCCCATTGTGTTTAAATTGATCACAAATGAATATGTGATTGTTATAGTGAAGAGTCTGTTGCTTTATGTTACGTCGGTATCAATACCAAGGGACCTTTTTCAGAGACAGGTAGGTGAAGGAAATATTGTTTTTTTATATGTATATATATATCTCTCGTCTTTGATGGTTCCTAACCTCTGTAAGTTTCTCATGAAGAACTATTCCAAGAACAATGAAGGTGTGAATGAGGAAATCAGAGATGTGAAATGTTTTTGTTTCAGTACTAGTGAAGCAGTTACTGTGCTTCTTTTTTAGCTTTTTAAAAATCATGTCACTGACCGCCCTTTGTAAATAATGTTAATTTTTAATTTTTGCAAATATTTTAAATTGTTGTGTAACAAGATTTTCAGTACTTATTTTTGCTGTTTTATGTAAAATGAGGAAACCTCTGTTCTCAAATGGAATCCCCCAAATGTAACTGGTGTCCTTTCTTTTAGGGTCAACAACATGTATTTTACTGTAATTCAGTTCATTTTATTCATAAGCCAATAAATTCCTTCCTCCCTCCAACAATTTCACTTTGTCAATATATATATTTTTTAATTTATTTTATTCATTTAATTTATTTTAAAGGAACAGTGTACAGTTCAAACTTAAATGTGTCCATTTGATGCACCGTACAAGATTGCAACTTCAAGTTAATTCACATACTCCGAGTACTATTAAATACACACTGAAGAGCGTACAAGACACAACCTACAAGACACAACACAAGTTTATATACAATACTCATCATAGATATGTTTGTCAAATGAAATAAAAGCCATTCATGAGGACCATCAGATAAATGTTCAAATCAGTTGGTGCAGAGCTCATCAGCATTTAACAGACTGTTTCAGTTATGGAAAATACTGATGGAGCTACTGCTCAGGCAGTGTTGTATTGATTTGAGGGTGCTACAAAGAAATCTGACTTCAGCCATTGTCCATTCACGAAATAATGCAGGTTTCTCTGATCTGTACATTAAATGCATATGCTGGTGCTATAAAGAAGCTTGTTGTGTTACTACATGTAAAGAATTGACATGGTTTCCGCCGAATTTGAGGTGTCATTGTGATGATGTAGTGGTAGCTATCAATGCTCGGAGGACTTGCATTCAGCTGGTGCTGGATTGCTACCATTACAGTGAGGGTGGAGTGGGTGAAAATATTAGGAGGAAGATAAATGATATCCTATATCCTTCCCTAAATGCTTTTCATTGACTTCAATGGAAAATATCCTGAGGTGAAGGTAAGCTGTGAAGGGTTAGGACTCCAGAATCAGGTTACACCTCCATAAGGCTACATAATTATTTGACAGGAGATATTATTGACAATGGGCTTTTATGAATAATTCATAGTAGTGTTTTCCTTGAAATGAGAACTTTATATCCAAATCAGGAACGGGACCTCTTCCACAGAATCCACCATATTGCGCTGCCATATTTCTACATTAAGTAAGACTAGATAAACCAAACTGTTTTCTTGCCTGAAGGCCACCTTTAGGCCTCATACATGTTTGGAAAGAGTGAGAGGAGGTGGATTTAATAGTTCACTGCTAGTGCCACTAAATACAACTGTGACAGAAGGATTTTCAGTGCTAGAGGATGCAGAGACTAGTTGTATACAGATTAAGTATTAAGATAACATGTTGGGTAAGAGCTCTGCCAATATACAAAGTGGTGGTGAAATGTTTTTCATATGGTTTCCTGATTTTCAGAGTTAACACTGTCACATTTACATGAGAGGGAGAGAGATAAGGAGGGGATTGACATAGTAAACCTGAACTACACATACAGGTTTCCTTATTGGGACTTTGCATTGAGGACAGACTAACCAAAACCTCATCGCGAACCTTAACAAGGCCCTCAGAAGGGAAGTTTTGCCTCATCAGGACCAAGCTTTGGTCCCCATGAGGACTACTGGTCCTAACAAGGTCAGTGTTTTTGATGGAGAAGGTCCTAGAGAGATCACTACAGAAGAAAAATAAGTAAATGATGATGTTTATTTAAAATCCATCAGGAGCCCAGTCTTACTAAGAGTTGGTGTTATTGAGCTAAAAGGAGCAAAATGGGATACTCTGCAAACCAGTATATAAATGATCATAATTATTGCTACTTAAAGATATTCACTGGAAGCTCAAATAATCACAACGATCATGTAGGAACAGGAGTCTACATGCAAATATTTAACATCTAATTAGGGAGCAGAATTACAGATGAATGATTGGTTTATACTACTGATGTGACGGCAGTGATAGCTGGTCTTCAGTGGGTGGAAGCAGAGATGTGACAATGTTGTGCTGTGTCCTGGCTCTGCAGCAGCTCTGCTGGTTTACACACTATAGAGTCAGTGTCTATTTAGAATCCAGGTGTGGCGACTACATGTGGAATAATGAATCTGCAGACAGGATATGGATAAGGTCAATCAAAATGAAGCATGTAATTCTGTTTTGAAAAGAGGAAGGTAAAGCACAAATCAAGGAGATAATACTGGAACACTGTGGGATGAGGACAGAACATACTGCAGAGCACATAGGGTGAAATTATCAAGCTGGTGGGAGAACAGTAACACAAGTCTTAGTTCGATTGTTCAGCAGAATATATATTTTTTGATTCTTTTATTTTATTATTACAGATTAATCTGTAGTGGATCCTGTTCCACACACTCTGGTACGGTAGGTGGCGTAATGCACCTAAAGGTTGGTTGTGCAACTCGTCAAAAAACACAAAGAACAAGAAGCGAGCGGAACCTATGAGCGGAACTGATGGGGGGTTTTTTTTTCTCGACATTATGTTTCCTTCCGGAAGATAACTCAGTTGCACCGCCGGCATATCGAGGTACAGTTGTTGTGGTTGCTCATGAATCTGTATCACACACAATATAACAAGAACACGACCATCAAGACTCATACGTGTTCCAACTCTGTGTTAGTACGTTACAGTAACACGAGCAAACCTCGAGGAACGCCCGTAAACGGAGCAGCTAGCTGTTAGCCTCGCTGTTGTCACCTGTGACCAAGTAATGATTCAACTCATGTGCAATATATCATTTAAAATAACGAGATCTTCTTGATGTTACCGGTTGTCTGTGAAGTCAGTTCAAATGTTCGCTTCTTTTCCAACTCCACACAATCTAATAATGTCTTGACTGAGTTGTCTATGTGTCTGTCCGTCCTGATTTAGTGTCCTCCGAGACTCGCCAGCTTTAAATGCAGCACCTTGTTACAGTCAGAGGTGTTGTGTTCACGCTCCGTCCACTGGTCTCGTGTGTACTAATGTGAGGCTGTTGTTTCTCAGTTACCTGCCTGATACCGTGTTCCTGGCCTGGAGACATCATGGACGAAGAACCAGAGAGAGCGAAGCGCTGGGAAGGAGGCTACGAGAGGACATGGTAAGACTGTTATACTAAGAGATTTTCAATTTCAGATATTTGTCATTGGTGCAACATTGCAGCTGACATTGATCAGAACACTTTATTAGAAACACCACGCTTGTACTTCCCCCTTTATATCTGATATCCTGTTTTCTCCCAATTTTCTTATTTGAGCTGGACAATTATTGTAGCTTCTGTCTTCATGAATTGCCCTGCTGCCCAATTGGCTCAGTTGTACAATGCATGAATTGGTTATATTTGACTGATGTTCCCAATAATGTGCTCTGTGACTGTGTGTCTCTCTTACAGGGAGGTTCTGAAGGAGGATGAATCTGGCTCACTCAAAGCCACAGTGGAAGAGATCCTGTTCCAGTCCAAAAGGAAAAGGTGTGTCAGAGAGAGAGAGAGAGAGAGAGAGAGAGAGTTTGTGTATTTGTGTGTGTGTGTGTGTGTGTGTGTGTGTGAGTGTGAGTGTGTGTGTGTTATAATAAAATATTCAATTCTGCTTTGCTGTGATGTAAATTATACATTTTGCTTCTGTTGGAGATAAAACTCAAGCACTGTATCGTAATGTATTTCACATATGCAGGCATGTGTTGTTAGTGCAACGTTTCCCCTTGCTGCTGTGTTTAATGTTATATCTGAGCTCGTCATGGATTGATTCTATAAAACATCATTGTACTTCTAATCTGCTGCTGTTTGTATCATAGGGTGATTGAAAGCCATGGACAAGTGAGGCTTGGAATGGTGAGTGAGTTCCACCTCTTTCCTACAGAAGCTTATTATCACCTCACTTATTATTTTAATGGTTCTCAGCCCCAAGTTCCGTTAAATCTCATGTCAACATGGTGACAGTGGCTCCGCAGCATTCATTTTACATATTTGTAAGGACCAAAGCTCCCTTGTTTAAAGTCGTGTAGCGCAACTCTGCTTTGAGTAGGAGCTGTGAAAGAATGTCCTGTGCTTTAGATGCGTCACCTCTATGTGGTGATTGACTGTTCAAGAAGCATGGAAGACCAGGACTTGAAACCTAACCGCCTCACCTCAACTCTAAAGGTAAATTATATTTAGCAGAGCCATCACACTGAACAATAGCAGTCATGCAATGTGGTGATCTGTAAAGCACAATCTCTCCTCTTCTCTGCAGCTGATGGAAGCTTTTGTGGATGAGTATTTCGACCAAAACCCCATCAGTCAGGTTTGTTTATTCAATCATGAGTTCCCAGCATGTTTTACCATGAACTGTGTTGAGACGTCACACTTAAATCCATTCAGCTCTTGTTTTAACGTGACAGGTTGAGGTGAGTTTATTGGAAAACTTGCTACTGCACTCACTAGTTTTGATGCAGATGAGATATCCTCTCTCCTTTCATTGTTCTGTAGACATTAGTATTGAATAATGGTTCAACCAAACATTTAATCTGAAGATATTTCTCACCTCTCTTCATTTGTGATGGGAATTTGTCACAACATTTTGAAGTATTAATCATTTGCTTAGCTGTTGTTGGTGGAATTACATTTGATATGTTCAAATGTATCAAGTATTGCAGCAGTATTGCAGCAGTATCCCACTTTGACTATATACAATGGTATGTAAATTGATAGTTATCATACCATGTACATTTGCTAATTTCTGGTATCGGGGGGGGGGCTATGCAGAATACCACTGTACTGTGATATTATATTTTCTGAGAGAGTTATCACATTGTGAAAATCTCATAGTGTTGTAAATCTATTTTAGATCCTTTAATACCACAGCAAGTAAAAAAACAATGAATATCAGCTATATTAAACCAATAATCCCTCGTGTGTGTGTGTGTGTGTGTGTGTGTGTGTGTGTGTGTCATCAAAGAATGTTGCTGCTTTAATAAACCGGTGTGTATCCTGTGTCCTCAGGTGGGCATTATCACCACAAAGAGTAAAAGGGCTGAGAAGTTGACTGACCTGACAGGTGAGGGTCATATGAACTGTTAATCTTAGAATATGAAAAGTATTGTTGGTTGATATTTAAAATGCATAGTTTTTCCATCTTGAGCTCTCTTCACGGGATGATTCAAATAATTTTTCTTAGTTATCATTGTTAGAATTTCTCATTTAAACAATTTGTACCTGCAA